CAACATTTAAATTTCAGTGGCATTTTTAATTCAAATCCCAGCGACACAGATTTACTTCCATAGACTTAGAGCTACAGAAGGCAGCTGCTTACCAAACGGCCTCATATCTCATTGGAGGGACCCCGAATCACACTTAAGCTCCTGTCACACCTCGGCGATTTAGACCAGCGTATGCCTGACGTACGGAAAATCTGCTAAAAACGCTGGCACACATTGGATAACATTTTCGTACGCTGAAGCACGCTGTAACACGTCGACATAAGGCGAGTATGTCAAGAAGTTTTGAGCTTGCTCAAAATTTCCCGATGCATTCCATAAGTGTGCGCCATCAGTTCCAGGTAAGTTATCCGATTGTTGACATACATTAAGTCTAAGTTACTCGTCAGTCGTGGCGTCTAGCTTATCCAAAACTTATAAGTAACTTTAGATTTAGATTTACAGTGAAAATTACAGACATAAAAAGAAATAAAAACAGCTATAACTCTTCCAAACTGGTTTAAAAATACAGAATTAAAGTCGTAGGAAGTCATATTTAAAAGTCGAATCATTCTGGCTTAAAGTGTTCTCTTTTGCACCATATATTCTATTGTAATATGAGGAAAAGAACGACATTAAAAGAACCAGAGATGTGTTTTTAAAACTATTTATGGCTGTTTGGATGTTGGAAGACAACAGAGATGCAGTTTGCAGATCCATCTGAGGAATTTCTCTTTGTCGGTTTGTGAAACATTTGCTTTCTGACTCCGTTTCCAGAAGCCTGAATGTCAGAATGTGGCACTCGAGTCCAGACGTGCCGCTGTGGTTAAGTGTTAGTGAGAGGTGGGTGAACCGGTTTGAAGTGAAGCATTTTCAGCCTCCCCCTGCTGGCTTCTCCTTAGCTTCCCTCTAAATGTCAGCAGTGTTTGATGCCGTCCTAAACGCCGCCTTGATTCTCTCATTGTTCTTCCAGCCCTGCGCCTCAGAAGAAAACTGAAGAAACAGACAATACTTTTGTTATTATAGAGTCGTTGAGTTACTCTGCTTTTGAACAAGAACGTGTAAAACATGGAGACAGTAGGTGAGTCCAGATTGGCATGAACGAAGCAACAGATGTGGCATGGATTTACTAAACTCACCACCACCAACACTAACCCATGCATGAGCCTAGAAGAGCAAATACTCCTAACAGATGCTGCAAATAGTTCCTAAAGCCGGGCATATACGATTTTTTTCAATCGTCGCTACAGCTCACACTGTACGTCGAAACCGGGTTTAAATGTTCACAGCTCACCATGTTTGTTCTCACACTGTGCGACCCGACACTCTGATGCGATCTACCTGCTCACTGTACGTCTAAAAACCGGGTGGGACTCAGCTCCACAGTGAGATGGCGCTACTCGGACTCGACTATCCGGAAACGAGTAGAAGAGGAACATGAAGCTCACTAGAGTGAAACGCGTAATTTGTGCAATTTTGTGCTGAAAGCCCTAAACAGAAAAGGCGACGACGTATTTTTACAAAGACATGGCTGAGCAAACGTGGCTACTACGGTCTGTCAGTTTGACAGAGAGAACTCCATGTCTCTCATTGCACCCCCACCATGCTGCTGGGTTTTCCTCTGAGAGGAAGAAGAAGAAGAAGAAGAATCCTTGTTTACGGACTGAGCGATTTGCCCACGACCACCTTACGACGTATTTGATTTTCTCCCGACCTTAAGATTCCCTATTGGGAGGTGGCTGTTAAAAGCTGATGCACGATGTCCGCTCGAAAAATTCTCGCACGGCTGGAAAATCGTCCCGAAAAGGGAAAAAAAATCAAGACAGTGTAAGCCCGGCTTTACGGAAGTTATCCAAGCTGCTCCAGACGCCGTATATTGTAGTTGGTACGTTTCTTTGCCTGTGCCATAAAAGTGCTGTTTTGAAGAAACAGATCGCAATATTTTCCACTCGACTTTGCTTCGGCCTTGAAAAAGGATGAAAACATTTTGATGCTTGTTGTATTTTGTAGCAGGAAAAAAACTCTATAAAATTTAGTCCTGCATCAGATTCCAAAACATCCAGGGAGACTGTTTCATTTTGGAACAATGCAGTTTCGTGGATGGCCAATAGGGGGCACTAAACTCGGAAGTTTCAGCTCTACCTGCCCAAGTGGCTAAAAGTTACACTTTAAATTTAAATTTTGAACCTAAGGAACGAAATACCTTTGTTTGAAAACTACAGATTTAAGTTAAGTGTAAATAATTTTAGTTCGTCAGGTTTATCTTACGATTCTAGAAGATCGGGATCAGAATATGCTTCCATATGGTGTTATGTTTAGCTAGGACCAGGCATTGATAATAACACTGGCGCTTTGCTTGTATTCAATGCAATTCACTTATATTTAATTCAATCATGCCCAATAAATTTGTAACGCATGGCAACAAGGAACCAAAAGTTTAGCCCCACACAAACGATTAGCGTTTGGTCATAGTCTGTTGTTCTAGGCCAGACTGACGCTTGGTGAGTTTTTAAAAGAAAAGTCCGGTTAGCAAGGAATAATCAATGGATCATTTTTTATACCTAAAACTAATATGTGCGTGGTGATTTAATGAATTTAGCGTTAATCAGTAAGAAAATAAAAACGATCTCTGAGTCTGGGAGCGGCCATTTTGGCCCAAATATAGTAGCCCCTCCCTCCTGCCATCTTCCAGCAGTGACGTC